AATGCCAGTGTATTTCTGTAACTAAGTTAGAACCACTGTAAAAAGCTACTAATGCAACTCCATACCCTAATTATTTTATTGTTCAGCTGTAGTAGATTTAATTTTGCAAGATTAATTCAGAACTTCAGATATTTATAAGCTTGGGCCAAGTTTCTTTGATCAATTTCAATCTTTCATTGCTTTCTCATTTCCCTGAAATAGTAACCTCATCCTCCCCCTCTGTACCCTGGTAACCTCCTTCAATATTAATCGGAGTTATATACAGGCATCAAAAGGAGATTATTATAGTGACAGATCATTTACTCGTGATGGATGATTCAGATCACGATACTGGTTTATCCTAAAATCCACAGGCCACATCCTGGATGCTTCAATAATTACATATAGTTTTCTTGCCAAGGCAGAAATGCTTCTGATTTCCCAGCACAATTTATTGCGGGATGAAGCGCATGCCTTGCTGGAGCAAGGAATGAATGAGATTTGGATTTCACCCTTTACTATTTCTGCTTTCCTGAATATTTAATGTGCTGGGGACAGACAGAAACTTAAGACTTTCTCTTCAGCTCATCAGATCTGGGTAGTTCTGGAGATATTAATGACGCTATTACTGTATCTCAGCCAGGGCTCTGCTCCTTCCCGCACGGTTTGGAAGCAACATGTCCATTACAGTCTAGATCTAATCAATGCCCTTTGGGGTCAGCAAGAGATCTACACCATTGCTTAAGACCTTAAGGAAGCAAAACAAAGGTATTACCTTGGGTATTGTTTATAATGTTATTTCCCACCAAAGAAGACACTTGATGACACAGTGACTGACCTGTTTACAACAGGTTGGAATGAAAGAACTATGAAAATTATTCAAATTGATCTATAAAATAGGATATCCTGTCATGTTGAGTAGGCGTTTGAGAGAGGAGAGAGTTGTATGAAAGAAAGGCCATTCTGGTGTTAGAGCTGTGGAAAGAGACTCTAGCCTGTCATAGATGTTACATTCCTGTCCAAAAACGTTAAACTTATTTAATCACACCTGTGCCTCTTATTTAGTTTCTCCGTGTGGCCACTACAGCTACACAATATTTTATGGTTTATAAAAAATCATGCCAGAGGAAATAGGATTGAAATGCATTTAAAAGTAAAAAACCTAAACAACAACAAAACTATTTTTCCAGACCATTTCTACAGCCTATATCAGGCAGGACCCACCTTGTACACATCATGCACTGTGGTCAGTCTGTCAAATCGCAGGTACATGGAATTTAACATGAGAACTATCTGAATGGGCTCACATTGGGCACAAATGTTGGTGAAGGTCACAACATCACTGAACAATATTGTGCACTCCTTGAACTCTCCTGTGGGAGAAAAACCAGCAGTAAGTACTTGTAATGGCTGGACAATCACAGTATCTGTTTGAGACCTGTTTGCAGAGATTACTTTCTCATAATTCCTTTTGGACATATCACCTAACAGTCACGATACTCATACACAGGTGCTGACATCAAAGAGGAATGTCAATATAAAAGTACATAAAACATAAGAATAACTGCACATCTCAAACAAGCCAGACTTCTGAATTCATCCTTTTGTCCATCCATATTCAGGATATGGTTAGCTCTTTAACCATAACTTCATCTATGTGCTTACTAAAGGGATTTTAAGCATACCCTGACTTGCTATCCTTAATAAAAAATGAGAATCATTATGATTCGGAGTTTATAAATAGCATAGAGGAACTAAGAAAATTTTCTAGGAAAGACCAATTTCTTTATTCCTTTCATTATTGAGCTCTCATTTCCCTGTATAGCCAGGTTAAAAACAAAATCTCAGTTTACTGTTGAAACACTGATTTTTTTTATTTTTTTTTTTCCCCTGAACTGGCAGCTGCTACCACCTTTCACTTCCCACAGGACAATTTTGGCAAATACCTCCCAAAACTTTGTTTGAAAGAACAGTCTAAGAAAGTCTTATTATCTGCAAGATTAAGGGTCTGTGGTCCTCCTCCTACCCATGAATGTCACCAAGCAGAGAATGTACTCCATGACAGTGGCAATGGGGCTGTGCCAGCACCCCAGTCTCTCTATCACCAGCACTGGGTGCGAATTATCATGCATAAATCATACATCACAAGTGCATCCTGTTCATTCACCTGCCTCAACTCGCTTCCCCTCCTTCAGCTGGTTGGCCACGTGCTGAGGAAGCATGGCGTAGAGCAAAGCTTCAGTCTTTTTCTTCTCTTCCTCCAGGTGCTTCGACAGGATCCTCAGTTCTTCCTTCTTCCTCTCCAGCTGGTTAGAGAGCTCCATCTCTGCCAGTCGCTGCTGATTGAGAAGAATCAAATCCCTGGTCACATCGTGAGGTGCAATGTCTGCAATGTGCATCTGGCGCTCCTCCAGCTCGTGCAGAGTGCGCAGCAGAGGTGAGCAGAGATAGAGCATGCACTGCAGGGACTCCATCCAGATCATCTGGCCTGTTTGAAACAAGCACTGGTAAGAGTCTTTTGCAGCTTAGGCTTTCGTGGGTTGCTCAGTATTACTTACGTTAATTTTAGCTAATGAGTTCTAAAGACAATGGCTCTTTTAAGGGTCTGGGTCATCACAGGAACTACTGTTCCCTGGATTAGAGGTGGACTTGTTTGGAGAAGGTACACAAGGCAAATAATAACATTTCAGGATCCTGAAGGCAGTCACTCATCACAGCTGCTACACAGCTGCTTCCTCTTCACGAGGAACCCCAGGGCTCACCACTCTCCTTTGCCACTAGTTCTTGAGCTGTTCCTGAAGCCAGTCTCAGCATCATCCACAGGGGAACTGAGACTCACAATGATAAAATTGAACATTTAAAGTTTAATTTCATAGTGGGTAATATGTGGCTCCCAGTAAAATCAAGGGAGGTTCCTTGCTGGAAGCTGCTGAAATAGGATATGGGGAAGTCCATGGTACTCAATGCCTTCTCTGCTTCAGTCTTTGTTGGTGAGAATCACCCTTCAATCTCAGGGCCATGAGACCAGTGGGAAAGTCTGGAGTGATTACAACCTACCATGGGCGAGGTTCAGATTAGTAAACATTGAACAAATTGGATATACAGAAGCCCATTAGAGCTGATGTGATGCATCCAGGAGTGCTGAGGGAGCTGGCCAGTGTCACTGCAAGGCCCCTCCATGTGTTTTGAAAGGACATGACCACGGGGGGAGGCTCCTGAGGACTGGAAGGAAGTAAATGTCACTCCTTTTCAAGAATTGAAGGGTGGAGGACCTGGGAAGGATCAGAGTATCTGTCATATAAGGAGAAGCTCAGTGTCTTGGGGTTGTTCAGTCTAAGACAAGCATCAGAGGGAGCTTATTGTTATGTAAAAATACCTGACAGAAGGGAAACAACAGGACAGTAATCGAACTGCAGGAATTCCCTTTAAATGTAAGAAAAAACCTGTTTTACTGGTAAGGATGGTTTAACACTGAAATGAATTGCCCAGGGAAATTGTGAGATCTCCATACTTGAACACTGTCAAAATGCAACTCAACATGGTTCTGAGTAACCAGCTCTAGTTGACCCTGTATTGAGGGGGGAGGGACTAGACAATCTCCAGAGGTCACTTCCAAACACAACTGGAGTTGACTCAGTTCTGCAGCTCTGTAAATAACTGAGACTAGAGGCAGTGCAGAAAACAAGCTAATCCTCCCTTGGCTTTGCCTGCTAGGAAACCTGCAAAGATGTTGCAGCATTAGAAAAACACTCTTT